AATAATCATATACATCTTTTATTAAGTCTACAAAATCATTTTATAATGTTTCAAAATATGGTTAAGCTAAAATGTCAAAACTCATGTGTTTACAGTTTCATGTTTTGGACTATTTTGTAAAATGATTATATTTTTTATTTGGGAGGTCCTTTTTGAAAACCAGTTTTTATAGCATGTTTATTATTATGTCTACAATCTTTTCATAAAGTTTCATAATTTTTGGAGTTTGTTTGCTATTTTTAAACAGTGTTTTAAAATCAAAAAACTGATTCAAACCTGTAAATTTTCATATGTCAGTTTGCGGTCGATCGTCACGGTCGACCGCCTTGAGTCCAGAGACTCAGGATGTTTTTCAAAGGCTCGCAGTCGACCGTGACGGTCGACCGAATGCAGTCCATAGAGTTTTGCGGTCGACCGCCATGGTCAACCGACTGATGTTCAGAGCCCAAAATAGTTTTCGGAGTTGTTTGCGGTCGACCGTGAAACTCCCATGGTCGACCGCCGATCGCCCAATGGCTTATTTTATATAGAATTGGACGCCCGCCGATCGCCCAATGGCTTATTTTATATAGAATTGGATTTTTGATTCTGTGGGATTTTTGGTCTTTTGTTTGGGGTTTTTAGCTGAGGTTTTGGGTGGCTATATATGTACCCCTTGCTCTCATCTCTCATAACCCATCTAAGAAGTTTTTAAACAAGGTTTAACAAGTGTTTAAGTTTCGTTTAGTTTTGTTTCAAGTTTGGTTTGTGAAGATTGTTTCACAAGAAGAGGAGATCATCTTTGGTTTGAGCTTTCCACTTCACATCTCTATCTCTCTTATTCTAGAGAAGTTTTCTTAACTCAATTATCTAGCTTGTTTACATTTACATTGTCATATTTATATTTGCTAGACTTTAATTGAGTTTGATTTTATTTCTTATTATTTACACACACAACCATTGAGCTTATTGTATTTTTATACATTGTATAATTCGGGTTGTGGGGTTTGTGTGACATTGAGAGTGAGCTTAATTGTGTTCTCATCTATTGTAGAGAACAAATTTGTATTTGTGAGCTTCATTGTGAGTTGCACGTTGTATTACACTTGGACACCGAGAGAAGTGATTGGTGAGAGACGGTGTCATTTCAAGAGAAGTGTGGTTGGTAGTAAAGCCTAGTGAGAGGTGGTAATTCCGAACACTTAAGGAATGTGATACGGGCTAGGCCAACACTTAGAGGGTGTGAAGTGTATTTGCAAGTGTGTATGTTATAAAATTTTCGGTGAACTAGAAAACTGTATTATGAGGTGTAAATATTATTCGGGTGAGCGTAAAAAACCCAATTGTGATTGTAGAGATCTCCTCGATGTGAGGAGCAGAGACGTAGGTCGTGGGGACCAAACTCTGTGAACATATCGTTTTTTTGTGATTGCATTGCGCACTTATTTTTTTGTTCATATCTTATATCGTATTTGTATATTGTTTGTTGCTTATATTGCCTACTATCTAGTTTAGATTGTTTACCCTTGTGTTATTTGTATATCCTCACATATATCTCATAGTATATCTCTTTGCTAGGATATTTCTCTTTGTTCATATTATATATTCTTGCTCATAACATATTGTATATCTATCTTGTAAGAATAATTTATTTAAATTATTTTTAATTAGCATAAAATCGGATTAGATTAGCACAAGATCCCAATCACCCCCTCCTCCCCCCTCTAGGGTCTAACATGGTTGACCCGCAACACCCTCTTAGTATACCACTTCCAAGCGTTGTTGGATGACCCTCCAGCAGTGGG